GGGGGAAGAGAGAGTAGCGGCCGTAGTTTCTAAAGACATGTTGCGATGACAATAGTATATTCGACGAAAATTACCTGCAAATAGCAGGGGCAACAGCAACTGTCACATCTGAAAGGTCGAATCATGCGAAGGACCTCCCGTCCGTTCACATCGAACACGGAGAATTCACAGGGACGAGCCGAGCCCAGACACATTCGCGAACAGATGCCTGACTCCTCGGCTACGTAGAATACCGGCTTGCCCATCATGTCCATAACAGCGAATCGGTTTTTAGTCTCAAATCCGGTGAAAGCTGAGAACAAGAGACGCTGCGATTACAGACGAATAAAATAATCAGAATTGAGAAGTAACGCGTTGTACAAGAGAGAAAATGTTAAATAGTAGGAATTACGTTAAAAATATACTTCATCTTGCTTCTTTGTAAAGCTAGATTATACTGACATTGTAGTCATAGTAACGACGTTATTTTTCTTCAGTTAGTAACGATAATGAGGAAGTCATTACATTTTTAACATAACGATGACGGATATAATTATCCTTACTTTCATCGTTATTTTTATGCATCTTTTGCACATCTGTGAGGGTCGGTAGTGAATCGCAAAAAGAAAGAAAGAAACTTCAAAACTTTGTGAAAGTAGTGGAAATTTCAATAACTTCTTACATTTTGAGTAATGATAACGCCAGTTATTTTACTTATTATTGTTTCAAAATGTGTGAGATTTAATTTTCACAATAATTAATCGACAAAGGGCGATTAATTTTTCTTCCTTAGTAATTATAACAGTATGATACGATACGGTGTTACGTTTAGTGTAACGGTAATGAATATAATCGTTACTTTTGTCATTACTTCGCAAAAGCATAATACATTTATATGGAATGCAGAGTAGCGAATTGAAAGGAAAAGGAAAAAAGCTTTAAAAATTGGCGGGAGAAGTAATGGAAATTGCAACACGACTCATTACTTCTTGATTAACGATAATGGCAACGAGAGTTGTTTTAATTATAATTATTTCAAAATGAATTAAACATAGAGAGAGAATAACGTTAATAACGAATTATTTTTAGTACCTTCCCTGTACAGGGGCCGGAAAATAATGTAATTACATTCTCCAATAAACGTTATATTGTTACATTACATTCGCGTTCGTTACATCGAGTTACGGTTGTAATCATTTTAACAACGTGCACAGTGTGTTACACGAGAACAAGCTATCGTATGGCATAAATATAAGATTACATTGTTATCGCGCTATGTAAACACGACATTTTTGCGGGGAGAGAGAGAGAGAGAAAGAGAGAGAGAGAGAGAGAGAGAGAGAGGGAGGGAGAGGGAGGGAGAGAAAGGGAGAGAGGTTACTGCTATCGCACAGAGAAAAATATTCATTTTCTGCTGCTAAAATGAAATTAAAAGCTATATAAAAGGAATTACTCAATTTATTTTCTTTCTTTTATAATATTTATCTCCAACGAGGAATTCTTGATAACAATCTTAAAATATACTCATTACAAAGAACCCCGCACTAATCACGTAGAAAAATCTATCCCGATAAAATTGACTGGTTTTCTCATATGTTGTAGCTTATAACTTGCTGAACAAAAAATATACTAGACAAAAATCTAAATAATGGACAGTTATTGAGCTACAACCAGTCAAACATGACAAACTTGGGCCGCGAAACGGCCAATTATCTCAAAGTATTAGGTAATGCTAATGCCGATGGTACTTTTTGAAGACATATAACTGAAGAAACGGAAAGAGATTTGTCAACAATGTTTTAAAAATATCTTGATCTAAAAATATCTTGATTTAAAAATATCAGCTATGCGGATGTGCGATAAAAAATAGGAATTTCCGCTGAAAATTTTCATCTTGACGAAACTTTTCAAGGTCGTTTTAAAACTCAAATAAATATTACCGGCTAATAGATTTTTTTAAACTCTATTATTTTTATTTTAAATGTTTTTCCAATAAACCAATACTTCTTGAAATAATTGGCCGTTTCGCAGCTTAAGTTTTTCATGTCTGACTGGTTGTAGCTCAATAACTGTCCATTATTTAGATTTTTGCCTATTACATTTTTTGTTCAACAAGTCATAAGCTACAACATATGAGACAACCAGCCAATTTTACCGGGATAGATCTTTCCATATGATTAGTGCGGGATTCTTTTAAGAAAGCTCATTATCATGTACTTAAAAAGAGATCTACTTTGTTAACAAAAATATTACGAAACTTTATCTTGGCGTACGTTAGGAGAAAAACATTTTTGTCCTGGTACACTTAGACAAAGTCCGAGACAAAGCTCACCTTCTAACAGCTCAACTTTCTGGTCCACGAAAAGGTAATCAAGGCCCATAAGGTATTCCAAGCCTGACGGATATGTCGTACTCGGCGGTGACCAGCCACCTGTAATAGTCGAGAACGAACTCTCCATTACAGCAGTTTTAACAACGATTGCCGGCGGTAAATTCATCGACGTGGATATTTCTTTTTTCAATATTTGTAAATATAGATCGAGAAAAACATATAACACGCGCGCGATACACTCGATTTTCTTCTAACCAGCGACGATTAATTGAGAGGAGTCGTCAAGCTTTTATATATTGTTAGATAAAAACATCGCATATCTTGTTTTCTTATTCTTTTTTCATCACAATGGTGCTGATAAAAAGATTTGTAGAGATATCGTATTTATCTATGTTTCGTCAAATTAATTAATGTTTTCAGTAACAAGAATTTTATAATACATGATATATACTTCTACGTATTATTGTCGAAAAACGGATATTTTTATGTGATTTTTATATAATCAATAACTTAAAATAATTTTTAATCATATTATTATATATATTATATATAATATATACAGAATTATAACGATAAATATATAATTAAAAATTATTTTAAAATTAACGTAGATTGTTGTAAAATATAATGGCATGTGTTGTCCTGAAAAAATCAAGAATCAGAAAATCTCTGAAGAGAGAATTCTCTCTGAAGAGAGAAGTAATTTTTTCGGAAAGGCATAATTCCGAAATTAAGTTATTAAAGTAATCACCTGAAATAAAAATTGGTAGCAATGCAATTGTCCTGAAAAGTTACAATACTTAAATCAGTAAAACAGGACAATGTATTGAGAAATACAGCTTTTCCAAGATAATAACAACAACAGCAATAATAATTTTTCAATACATTGTCTCGTACTGACAATTTCAATTTTATTGTAACTTTTCAAGGCAATTGCTTACTTTCAATATTTCAAGCAGTAGATTTAATATTCAATTTTCGAGATTATGCTTTCTTAAAGCTTGAAATATTTCAAGTAGTAGTTTCAATGTTCAGTTTTCGAGATTATACTCTCTTAAATCAGTAAAAATAATATCTGATCAGTTCAGAGTAAAAGGAAGTAATTCATCGGTAATCAATGAGTACTTTTTAATAAAAACACTTTCACTTTATTGTTCCATCTTATATCTCATTGATATAATCAGAGCAAATAAATTTTTATTGTAAAATCTGTAGTTAAAATCTGCAATAAAATCTGTAGACAAAATCGTTACATACTGTGTCAAATTCAAATATCTGTATTTGAGGCAATAGGATAGAAATAACGGTTACATCATCGCGTCTCGTTTGCGTTGACACTGTCTGTGTTTTCAACTTGTATCAACAAACACTAGAGAGAACTGAAGAGAATATGATAGCTTTTTTATTAATATTATAAATTTCTTTCAATTTTACTATATTTCTAGTACAAACCATATTTCTAGTGCAAACTATTGTTAGTAAGATCTATTTTGCTAGGTATAATAAATTGCACTAGGAATATAACAAATTATTTATAATGCATATTTAATTAAAAAATTAAATTATTTCAAATTATTCAATGCACATTTGCTTTCTTCCTAAAATATAAATAACACATGTGGTGTTGACTTCAGTGCAATACTTATAGCTGAACTAGTTATAATTATAGTATTTCAGTGAATAATGCATTGATTGTACTTTGCAGAGTGACTCGTCGACAAATCTCGGTACATTCCTTTTTTCTTTTTTAAATCTTCGTTCAAAAATATCACTCGTATCGCGTCATATCGTTTAATTACAAAATATCGATATTGCGATATCGATGATACATAAACTGTGATAAGAAATGTTATCCAAATAATTCTTATATAACTATTATTATCATATCATATCGAATCAATATAATATTATACAGAAAAAATATTATAGTAAAATTTGCGCTAAAATTATATTATTTATTTTTATGTTTATCTCTTAAAGTAAACTATACTGAAATTATAACAGAAATAATTGTAGAAATAATAATAGAAATCGTTGTAGAAATAATAAATTTGACGATGTACTTAATATACAAAATAAAAAAAAAGCATTCAAATAATTATAATTTCACACGCAAAAAAAATTTCAGTTGTTACAACCAAATAGGAATCAACTGAAAATTAGATGATCAAAAGCGATATCTCTGTTATGAAAACTAATATTTCTGTTGTCACAACCGGAAATATTCGTCTGAACATTCAACGATATCAGAACTCGATTAAGGCAACTGAGAACAATTGACTATACAGAAGCCTCATAAAGGAATTTTTCTGTTCCTACAGTCGAGTTTTCGTTTGATCCTTGAGCAACCGAAAATTGTACCAACAGAATTGTTTTTTGTGTAAAGAGTCAAACACACGTTCTCTAAAGTACAATCAATGTCTTCTTCACTGAAATGTTATACTTAAAACTAGTAGTTCAGTTATAAGTGTAACACTACAATCAGTAAAATCTCATTGAAAGAATCAATCAAGTTAATAGTAAAAAGAGCACAATCTACTGAAAGATGTTCTCAAGAAGTCCAAAAAATGTTCTATTTCTTTTAGACGTCTTTTGGATGTCTTTAAGACATCTGTTAGTAATTTATGCAGTGTGGGTAGCGACTGTTCCCATTACTGATGCAGTTTGCAGACACGGCAGTGTCATTGCACGCAAATCGCACGGGAGCCGTTTATTTCATCATCACAAAGTTGGATTTGACATAGCACATAATGAAATTGTGTACTGCAAATTTTGCAGTGAAATCAATGAAATATGAGATGAAGCAAAGCGGGAGCGTTTCCACTGAAAATCAATAAATATTCACTGATATTATCGGTAAAATATTTTTCTTACTAGTTTGATCAGAAATATTTCTACTGATATTCAATTTTCGATGATCTTATCCTAATACTTTAATATATAGAATAACGAGAGGGGAATCGACTAATGTAAAAAAATTATATCTTCATTCACAAAAAAATTTTTAAATTCACTAAAACAGTTTCAGGTATGCAATTGCTTCTTTTGTTAAAATAGCTAAAAAAGTTTTGTTTTTTTAAATCAATTTCTTTTGTGAGTACTGTGTTCGTGACGATTCTATATTCGTCTATGAGAATGCTAATAATGAGGGATATATATATGTACTTTTGTTTAAACCCTGGCCTTTTTAAAAACCAATATAATGGACCCAATACTAATTTTCATGAAAATTGGAACTAGTCATTAGTTTTAATTTAGAATTTCGCAATTGTTAAATCGTCTTTCGTAAACCTTGGCCACCATATTGGGTCCGCCATATTGAAATATGACACTGTCATCATAGATTTAAAATCAGCGATTGAGGAAACTCTGCAACACTGAATTTAATAAACATTGAACCTACAGTGTAAGTCTCAGTTAACAATACCATTATTTTTTACCATTTTCGTAGCATTTAATCGCCATATTGGATCCGACCACTTTGAAATTTGATATGCTGATTATAATTCGTTATCAGCGATTGAAAAAACATTATAATACTAGATTTCATGAAAATAGCAAACGGTTTAATATGTTTTACTTAGTGATTTCGCTATTTATAGTTCGTTTTCCTCAGATTTTGACCGCCGTATTGGATCCGTCATACTGGTTTTTTAAAAAGGCCAGGGTTTAAACAAAAGTATATATAGCTATAAAATAAGTCCAAAAAGAAATTTTTTGGTTGCCCTAATTTTTGGACAGAGGGATGACAATAGATTAGATTTGACAAAGAGTGCCCCATATATGTATGTATATATATGTGTATATATATATATATATATATATATATATATATATATATATACACAAATCATAACCTGCACCTCTGCTCCTCCTCGGTGAGAAACTTGCTGTAGCCCTTCTTCTTCGGCTTACGTTGCATCAGCAGCACGTCCTTGAGTCTCTTCAGTCGTCTGCGAATCAGTTCTAACTTGTTCTTCCACGAGGTCTCAAAGTACTCGGATTCCGTTACAGAAAGCACCAGATCGCACTTTGGCACTTTCATCTTTACTAATCTCTCACCGGGACTCGACGTTTGCAGCAATCCCGTAGCCTGGAGTTTATTATCAAAAAATTGTCACACCTCGTACACTTGTCCTTCGAGCAGAAGAGAAAGACAGAGAAAGAGAGATTCCAGAGTTCCGTTTGTGCCGCTTCCCACTCAACTCTCCGGTTTTGTTTTTCAGCTCCCTTTACATCATCGGATCGGTTATCACTTATCATATCAAATTTATTATCGAATCGAAAGATTCTATTTGAACTAGTGGGAAGTTGCGATACTCTCCTGCGTTATCATATCCAACAGCCGGCGATCGTTGACATCGCGCGAGCAATCCTGCCGATCGTGTGGATCTTCCGGAGACGTTCTCGTTGTTGCTGTGCGCGAGAACGCGCAATTATTGTCAGATTATTTCACAGCGTCGCACCCTCGCCGACATCGGGACTGGTGATAAAATAAAACGTTGTATTTTTCCGCGATCTCCCTTTTCCCACTTATCGTGTAGCCGATAAGCACAAAAAACAATGCACGTCACTAGAGAACGAGGCCGACCGCGAAGACGTCGACCTTCCGCTCGCCGAGAAGCGAGCCTTGGAACCGCGACGTCTTGCCTAAATTCCTACAAAATTCGATATTGCTCCTCGGAGAGCTCACAACGATTAACACTAGCATGCCCGGGAACATCAATCCCTTTTGGATGCCCGTAAGAGTCATTTTAACGTGGACATGTATAACTGCGAAAAATCAAAATCCCGAAATTTGAGAAGCGGAACAACATCCCGAAAAATCACGATCCCGACAAGTGAATTGTACCGAAATACGATCTTTCCAAAATATTAAAACCATGCTCTCTAAATCAGTATATTTTTCATTGAAATATGAAAATAGAAGAGACTAGGTCCAGATGACTTCAAGAGCTGTGCATGTATCTTTTTTTAATATTTATCTTGTGGAGAATAATGGAAACAAAATTACAAAATGATCTTTTTAGGACACAGATACTTTTTCTTTCTGAGTTTCTTTATGAAATTGGGATATTATAGTTAGAAATAGAAAAAAA